ACAACCAAACCATGCACAGGAGTTCTGGCGCATTCACAGACATTGTGATGGCATTCTAGCACTCGTCAATGGGCAACCAAGTACAAGTACCACGGGTCGGTCCTGAAATGACAGGCTGTGATGAATAGTCTAAGAAAAAACATTTATGCAGTTGCAGCAACACAAATTGTTAAGTTTGTGGTAGAAAAATCATAGAGCTTTTCAGTCATGCATTTAAAGTTGCTATTTTCCACCTACAAATATATATTATCTTCTGGTGGCGCAAGACAACGCCGAGATAATGCAGGACCTGTACTACAAATCTATAGATATTTTTCATTCTAAGGCATATCATGCCATTTCAACACCCTCTGAGGAAGGCCCGTATCTGGACGATACCAAAACACGTCAATTTTTTAATTAAATTTGGCCAACTTTGCTAAAAACTTGCTGTTCTCCGGCTTGTACTCCGGCTTGTTCTCCCCGGGTCTCCCTATAGGCCCCATTGCGAGAAGGGCAACCAAGTACTGCGATTTTTTCCCACCGGGTTATGGACCATCTCTATCTTACAAGTATAGGTACTGGTTGAGCCTGGAGACATGATACCCTTGTTAAATAAGTAAGATATCCTCGAATCTTCAAAGACCGGCACCTACCGATTTCTGAAAAAGTGGTTGACTTACTATCATTTATACAATAGTAATAAGTTTTGGAATGCTGCATGCCACAAACTCCCATTTTGGGAACGTAATTCCCGATGACATTTAAGAACCCAAAAGAAGCCGTTACCACCAAAAGTGCCACCCACAAACGTGATATTTGGGTGTCATTTAATGTCATGATTCTATCTCAAAAGTGCCGATATGTGGTGTGTTTGAATGCTATGATTTTGAGTTTAATTGCAAGTTGGATGGTGATTGGTGGCTGGTATGGCAGGAACAGGAATGAAACAAGCACTTTGAAAAGGATGTGCAATGCTGCAATCTTTGGAATTTTCCCACCAAACTGTTTGCAAGATGCACGTCCTTTGGTAAAATCGCTAACATGTTATCTTAATATGAGGTAAGTTAAGAGCATAGTTGGCATGCTGGACTTCTTGCTCGGCGAGTCTTTGAATGACCTAGTTGAAAAAGATGTGCCAGCGGTGATTTTGGTGCTGCTAGTGGTTTTCTGGTCGAACGAATATTAGGTGTCTGTTGCGACGCGGACCTTCACTGCTCGAAAATGCACTCGTCAGTTGCAGGAGGCTGGGCTGCCGCTGGTTTCGGGTACGGGAGGCGATGGTGGGAGCCAGAGCCGTGATATGTTTGTGCGGTTCTTGAAAGGTATCGGTGGGGGTGTGCGTCGTGGAGAATGCGGTCTTCTTACTTACTCAGGTGCGCCAAATATTTTCCCCACAGGTAATGACATGCAAGGTATGTGGCAGCGGTAGGTACTTAAAACAAGCACATTTCATATTTCAGTTTATTTCATTCCCACAGAAGTAACTCACATGAGTTGTCATCACCATTCAGGAGTTGCATAGGCTTGTACAAGTGCATCTAACCCATGTAATACAATGATGAAGGACATTAACATGAACACCCTGGATTGGCCAGCTCCTGCAGGATTGCAGATGCTTGTCTCCATTTCTTGGTGCTCCATATGTTTGGTCCCTGGAAATCAGATAAAAGTTATAACTCACTTTATGAAGGCAAAGTTCATGCACCCTCCTGGCTATCAAGAAAGCAAAACTGTCTGCCTTGGTACTTATACTCAGGCTCATACATTTGCAATGGTGTCTGCTTTGTGGGGCGACTGCAGTGTTTGTCTGGAGTACAAAAATTGTCATTCTTACCAGTCAAGAGCCTGGAGTACAACATTTCCTGGTGTCACATCCACCAGAAAACGGAGGTTTTTCCCACACTGCTATGAAGAGGCAGGTGTTATTTAGTCAAAGAGTGGTAAACCATTGGAATAGACTATGGAATAAGGTTATAGAAAGTCCTTCCCTAGCAACATTTACAAATTATTGGGCAAGTTCTGTGGGCTTGAGGGTCCCATTTAAAGCTAAATTCAGGCAAGTCAGATGGTAAGATTAGTGTCAAGGTTGTGTATGGAACCTGAGGTAGGTGGTCCCAATTGGCCCCTACAGCACTTTGTTGGCCTTATGTCTTTGTGTCGTGATGTCTAACCATGAGTCACTGGGGCTCCATTAGGTTTCACCAATCAGCAATTTTTCAGACTCATACCCTGTTATGAAAGCAAATCCTCTATCAGCAAAGAATGGCCTAACCAGCAGAACATAGGACCATAGGGCACCAATGGTGATTAGAAAATGTCATTGTCTTACCATCTCACTCTTTTAAAATTCAGTGAATGATATCTCCCTAACTACATTGTAAGTCTGCAACAGTGTTGTTTATGCATTGTAAGGACAGCATCACCACCTCAAAGACAAAGATGGTTGGCAGTAGCTGGCCAGAACAGTCTTCAGAACAGTCTTCAGAACTCATATAGTTAAGCTTTCCAGTATACATTTTCCTGGTGTATTTTCTGGGGTTGAGTACCCAACATGAGCAATTGGCTGCCCACATCCTTATGTAGCTTAGCATATAGCAATGTACAAATTTAGAGGTATATATGATCACATGCAACCAGATTGCAGTCATAAAACCTCACACACATGTGTCTAATATAAAAGGCCTTGAAAAACTGAAAAGCTGTTAACATTCATGCAGATATGTCCACCAAACCTGTTTTCACTTTCCAGCCTTATCTCATTCAGGCTCCCTTAAACACTGTCCTTGGACAACTCAGGGCAGTTTGCCAGCACTGAACCTTTTGTTAGGCACAGTGGGCCTCTGGTTAACACCAGGGCCCTTGGCAGACTGGTGGTCCTTGTTTGTTCAGGGGCCCCTACTAATGTAAATCCTTGGCTCTATGTTCCCACCCCATAAATCACGGGTGGGAATAATTGCATGCTTAAAAAGCCCAATTTGACTAAATGCACTCCCTTTGAATAGAATGTCCCCCAGTTGAAGATATCAAGACAAGTGTCCAATGTGATGAGGAAAGATCACTTGCAACTCCTGGTATCCATTGAAGTGCAAAGACTTCGAAGACAACACAGTTTCACTAATGAGAGTCAATATGCTCCTCAATACATTATTGTCTGACTGTGTCCTGGGACGTTTTTATGACGTCAGTGGAGCCACCAAACTGGCCGTACGACGCTGCCACCTGAGTGGGTGTGCTAAATCTCTTATAGTGCTTTAACTCGTCGAGAGGTGTCTTGCTGATCGTGGGTTGTTTATGGGTTGAAACAATGTGATCAAATGATGATGTAATGAGGAGCATATTCGCTCAAAACAGTGATTGTGCTGTCTAGAGCTGTCTTCTCCACTTAAAATTATGTTAATAGTTATAAGTGAGGTTGTTTTATTATATTTGGTGCTTGCTTGGATATATTAAACTGTGTAACTTTTAGAGCAAGCATCAGGTATGATGAAATGAGCCCACTTATAACTATTAGTAAAGATTTCACTGGGAAAACCTGTTCTAGACAAAACAGTTTCTGTTGAGTATATGTGTTTCTCAATGCATAGTTGATTTATTGTGTCTTCGTACCTTGTACAACATTGTTCGAGAAGCAATTGGCGGCCGTTTTATGTGGAAATGGTACACACAAACTCCAGATATGAACAACTGAACTTTTGTTGTCTTGATTTCTTCTGGCCAGCGGAATAGCAACATTTGGAGAGCGTTACTACGGCATTATGGATGCTTGGGTGACCTTGAAAGTCTTCCGAAATGGTGGACGTTTAGCATAGAAACTGGAAAGGTTTAGTTCGTAAGAAAGGCAGGGCTGTGCTCTGCACCAAATGATCTTCAGGATGGTTATTTGACTTCAAAATATCACACAAACCAATCCCTTTAATCCAGTTGCACTCGGGATTTTTCGACCCCAGCTGCGACCGCTAGGTTGTCAAAGGTGCTGCTCCCAAAGGTGGCGATAAGAATTACTGAAACATGTAGGCGTGTTCAGGGCCGCCGCAATAATGCCACACTTGCCCACATTTTGAGCGTTATCTTATGGCCTTAGCTAACCTGCCCATTAGCAGTGCCTGCAAGCAATATGTCCAAGAGATGGGCCGAGTGTCCAGTGGGTCTTTGCAATGACTACATTTCTGTAAATATTGCCTGACGACATGTGGGTGGGCTCCTTCACCATCTTTGCACTGCACAAGTTCTTGGAAAAGTATGCATCCACAGAAATGAATGCTTGAGACCATTAAATATCTGATTGCATATTGGTTGACTCGAAGGGACTCTCGTGCACATATTGGGACCTTATTCACTAAAATAAATCAGATCTTCAGTAAAACCGAGCTTCAAGGTAGTTTATTTCTCACTTCACATGCCACTGAAACGTGTCCTCTTGAATCACATAACGCCAGCGCTGACCCACATGCCCAACATTTAGTGTGACCTCACGCCTTCGATGCTACAATACTGTCAGGGCGTTGAATCACTCATAACCCACCGACCTTATTGGTTTTGCTTTGGTGCCTGAAATCTATGTTTAGGTCAGTATGCAGTGAAAGAAACGTGGAAGGTTGCGCCAGTGCTCTGTAATGACTGCACGAGTGTGTGAACGTAATCACACGCATCCAAGCGCCTGCAGCCGGTTATGCACGCTGTACGCCGCCCTGACCGTGCCGTGACTGTGCACCGACCCGGCAGGGGCGCCGAGATGGCTCCGCGCCGGTCCCGCGCCGCGGCCGCTCCCCAGAGGGCGACGAACGGCCACCGCGTGCCGGTGCGGCTGCCGCCCGGCCTGACGCTGACCGACGTCACCCAACGGCGCTGGCGGCTCGGCCGCTCCATCGGCATCGGCGGCTTCGGCGAGATCTACTGCGCCGACCGCGACGACGGCGGCCCCGGTGGGCCGGCCGACGCGGCCATGTGGTCAAGGTGGAGCCGCACTCGAACGGGCCGCTCTTCTCGGAGATGCACTGCTTACCACCGTGTGCGCGCGCTGACATGATCGACGCCTGGAGGCGCCAGCAGGGCCTGAAGAGGCTGGGCATGCCGCGCTTCGTGGCGAGCGGCTCGGTGGAGTACGGCGGCCAGCGCTACCGCTTCATGGTCATCGACCGCTTCGGCACCGACCTGCAGAAGCTGCTCAACAAGAACGGCGCCCGGTTCCCCATGGCCACAGTCCTCCTGATCGGCGTGCAGGTGGTGCGTTGTCTGACATGCCCAGGCCAGTCTCGCCCTCGCCCCACCTGCGTATGGGGAAAGTTTTGTCTTATTGGTGACTGTGTGTGCTAGGTTCTGCCACATCACTCAAAGCTCGTGTGGTACGCGCTCGTCAAGTCATGCGTAGGATAAGTTGCCTGTCGTACTTTGCCCCTGCCTGAAGGCGATGTGTCCTTAGACTGCATTGTAAGTGCGCAGCTTCTTCAAAGACGTAATGCCGTCCCACTCACGCCGTAATGACGACAGACTGTTGTCCTTAGGTAAAGCAGGGCATAAGAACAACAGATTGGCCGCCTGCGGGTACTGTAGCCATGAGTGAACAGTTTGTCTACCTCCAGGAGCTGGTTTTGTTCTGCTGCGGTCAGTGCCATGTTTGCTTCTTCCGTCTCCCGGCGCTGTATTTTTGTCCTTACTATTTCAGCTGGACACGCTGGAGTACGTGCACAGTCGGGAGTACATTCACGCAGACATCAAAGCACAGAACCTGCTGCTGGGCTACAAGAAGGGGACTGAGAACCAGGTACAGGATTCACGCTGGTCCCGCGGCTCAGCGGATCGGACGAACTGAGCTGTGTTTATGGGGCGATGGCTGTTGGACATGTTAGGCTTTATTTAGCCGCCTGAATGTTTTCATTGCAATCCAAAGCATGACTTGTCGGTGATGGCCATATGATGTAGGATGTATTAAGTTATGGTGTGGTTGATACTCAAAATGAAATGATTTTGTTGAAACTTGTTGGTTTATAAAATTAGATGAACTTATGTTTTGAAACTTAGCATGTATAATTTAAGGACTTTTTTAAAAACAGTCCATGCAGTCTGCTTGACCTACAACAAAGAGTTTCGGTGGTCGTGGTATGCCACTTTTCGGCACCGTCTCTGTCCCGTCATTTTGTGACCAGTCCTTGTGAGCCCGTTCAAACCGACTGGTTGCGCTGCTCGCGGCAGGTGTTCTTGGTCGACTTTGGTCTGGCGTGTCGGTACGCGCTGGACGGTCAGCACAAGCCGTACAGGCCGGACCTGCGCAAGGCGCACAACGGCACCATCGAGTTCACCAGCCGCGACGCCCACATCGGCGCCCACTCGCGGCGCGGCGACCTCGAGATCCTCGGCTACAACCTGCTGCAGTGGGCGTGCGGCCGGCTGCCCTGGCAGGACCACCTGCAGCACGCCGACGCCGTGGCGCGCTACAAGAACCGGCTGATGCAGGACGTGCCGGCGCTCATGCTGGCGTGCTTCCCGGACGGACGACCAGCCGGCGCCGGTAGGGGACGCTGGAGCGGCCGTGGATGGGGCGGCGCGCGTCCAGACGCGTACAGAATGTTTGCTTGTGTTGTCTTAGAAATGTCGAACCGGGCGGGCAAGGTAAGCAGGGTCGGCACGTAACGCTGCGCAGAGAGGCGACGTCGCTGGCGCAGGCAGCGCCGCCGCCCGTGATGTTACGTTGACTTGTGTCTTAGCAACAGACACTGGGTCTCGGTTAGCACTTGCAGGGTGTTTACCGTCCTTGCAACGCTACTCCACGCACCGAGGACGCCTCATACAAATCGCGTGCGTCAGTAGTCATTTAATATCAGTTTCGGTTCTCGCTTACGTGGCTGCGTCAAGGGGTGGCGTGGTGGCCACAGCGTAGCCCATCTCCAGCCACATAACATCAATACCGTCGCAATGATGTACAGGATGCTCTGATAGGTTTCATGAGCAGTACATGAGCATGCGTGTACCATTCGGCAGTCCCCTGCATGTAGAAACGCTGTGCTGTCGCTGCTACCGTCGCTGGGGTTTTTCGGACATTTTGTACGGCTTGTCTTTGTACAGCTCGTTTCTTCGACATATACCAGAAGGTATTCCTGTTGCATTTGAAGCATGCTTGACCATATGGCCATACGGTAGTCGGCATGCTACAAAGCCCAAATTATAATCATCCCCCTCTTCCGCACTCTGTGGCTGACACCGCACCGCTCTTCCACACTATTGTGGCTGACACCGCTATGGGATGGGTGTGGATTTACGTGGCATTTCTTGCCGGCACACTCACCCGTAACCTATACTTTTCAGAAGTTGGTGACCTCGGGTCGGGTCAAAGGTCAGCAAAAATGCCCGAGACCAGAAAAATTGGTTGTGGACAGCCTTATGCTTTGAGCCTATGGCGCAAAACTTTTATCAATCCGTGCGCGATGGCCAGAAACCTATTTTGCCGGGACGTTATGACCTTGGCCGCGTCCAAGGTCACCAAAACGTCCCTAACCGACAAAAGTCGCTTTGCTTACGACCCCCGTCCTCAGATTCAACTGACTTAAGGTCACCATGGTCTACGAGCGATAGACCATTGCCCTTGGCTCAGCGATTGACTAAGGTTTTGGTGTCGCGCAGTGTCATAGGCTCGAAACATAGGGGTTAACAGGTTTTGTCGGCCGTTCACAGTCCCTCTCAGTCGTCACCTTAAAAACATTTCGAGTCCCTCGATTGTCGAAATTCACATACCAGCACAAAACAGAGCCGTCAGGGCTGCTCCATCCAGCCGCATTATCAGCCGACGTCTATCTTGAGCTACATCATGTGGTCATCATAACTGAACATCTGTCATGGCTGGGCTCGAAGTTTTAAACGGTCGAGCCTTCCCTCTGCGCAAATTTGACGGCAGGCCGTGCAGCCGTCTGCTCGGCGGCCAGCGAGAGAAATGCGCGCAGACAAGCAGGTGTACCCTTGGAAATCAATGAGTTGGAAAAGAAAACAACTGATGTTGGTGCACGAGCTTTGTTGCTTCCATTCACAGGTTGTGCGTCTGTTTTTCTTGATGGTCTGTGTTCGTATTTGTTGCAGTGATGTGCGAAGCGCAACAATATTATCAGTCCGTCTGCCGGTCTGTCCGTTTGTTTGAATGCAGGTGATCATGTACTGGTTGAAGTGGTTATCAGATTTCACTTTCGGCTGATTGTTGTGTTACAACGATTTTGACGTAGTAAAATAGCGTGCTAAATATTCTAACAAAGCTCTTTACTGCATCTGATTATGAGGCTCCGTCCGGGGCAGCTCATGAAATATTTGCGACACTAATACGGATGACGGTATGCGCCAGATGCGATCCAGCACTTCCTGGAGTCAGTGGCTGCTCTAGAGTTCGAGACCGACCCGGACTACGAATCGCTGCGAGGCCTGCTGCGGGCCGGCCTGCGCACGCTCGGCTCTCCCAGCCGGCTGCGGTTCTCTGCCGCCGTCCAGGTGAGGTCCCGGGGGTGCGCCGGGCGTTCTCGCTGGACGCGCTGCCACCGACTAACCGTTGACGACGTAACCTCTCACAGCGTGCGGAACCTTGCGCAAAGGTCAGCCGTCACTGGAGGGTCGGAGGTGGCCGCGCCAGGCGACGGCGGCCAGCACCGTGGCCGTCGCCGCCCGTTGCTGGGGCCGGCGAGAGCGCCACGCCGCGCGTGACCCCTGACGACGTCAGCGCTGACCCGCCCCACATCACTCGTGTGAATCAGCCGCTTTCGATCCGGTCGAGCCGCTCTGTATTGAGGCTCCCGAGTGAAGGCGGTATGCCGACATGATGCCGTTGTGTAACTACGACATTGTGATTTCTACTCAGGATAAATTAGCACCAGGTGACTGCGATGTTTGCCATTGCCCTGCCTTCGTTGGAAACCGAAGTTCGACTGAGGTCTCAATGAAGCTGGGGAACGAAAGTTCGATGCGTGGATTTTGCGGCTTTGCGTGCTGTCGTGCTGCGTTGCGTTGTGTGATATCTGCCGCTGTGATATCGGCTGCGACGACATGAAATATACGCTTATCCGGACATGTGTTGTTTCCGTAATGTAGCCGAAGTACCTCGAGCGTGAGACGACCCAAGACGCTCAGACGATGAGCACCGTCGCCGCCGCACGCCCCTCTCTTTCTCTCTTTCCTCCGATGGTCGGAATCACCTCGAGCGGCGCTGCTCGTCGTCCGTTGTCCCTACCCCCGTCACACTGTACACCGATCGCCCCCCGACCCTCCTCACCTGACGATGGCCGGTGTTGCAGGAGGAGCGGGGACTGGCCGCCCGGCCGGCGCGTGTCTCGGGTGAGTGACCGTCCCGCGTGATTGGCGTTGCCGGTCCACGGCCGCGCTCTGATCGTATCGTCCGTTTTGTCGTGCGCAGGCCACGTCACCGCCGGCCGCCGACCCCGCCTCCGGCTCAAGTCGCAGGCCAAGAGCCGGCCGCCAAAACGGCCAGCCCGCCCCCAACCCAACCCGCAGCAGGTGAGAGAGGGAGAGAGAGAGAGAGAGAGAGAGAGAGAGAGAGAGGGAGAGGGAGAGGGAGAGTGAGATGGAGAGGAGATAGGAGAATGGGGGGAGGGAGGAGAGGGAGGAGGGAGAGAGAGAGAGGAATAAGAGAGAGGGGGAGAGGGAGAAGGGAGAGAGAGAGGGGGAGAGGGAGAGGGGAGGAGGTATGGGAGAGGGAGAGGGAGAGGGAGAGGGAGAAAGGAGGAGAGAGGGAGAAGGAGAGGAGAAGAGAGAGAGAGAGAGAGAGAAGAGAGGGAGAGGGAGAGGAGAGAGAGAGAGAGAAGAAGAGAGAGAGAGAGAGAGAGAGAGAGATTTGGGTGTGGTGAGTGAGTCTGTGAGTGAGTGAACCACTCTGGTAATGTTGTAAATCGAGTAAGAATGGGTCGGGTTGTTCTTGTAAGTCGTCCCCCGCGTGCGTACTCCATTGTGGATATAAATATGAAAATTTGTCATGTCATGACGCAGTGAATCGTGCAAACGTATGTGTGTAGACACAACGGGCATGGAAACAAATTGCAGCGCGGGCATTTCAGCTAGGATGCGTGCTCTGGAAACGGCATCAAAATGTTGAGAGAATGTTAGATTTTTGTATGGTTTTGCTGCCTTATGTGCTGGTTGGTATTGTGAGCAAGCACGACAGCGGAAAATGGACCGGATACGATGTTGGAAAACGAGTGGCGTCTGCAAAAGCAGTGGACGCGTGGCGAAACGACGCGTTTCGGTTATTTTTGTACCATGCTCAGAAGAGTTTCTTCCATGGTCATAACGAGTACCAACAGCACTGCCAAACACGACGAGGCCTGAAAGCTGCGTGCTGGGCACGACTACCGTCTTTTTCGGACGTAGTGTGTGAGCGGTCAAAGCGAGTTAAGTACTGCGGTCATTGAGGGCAAGAGAGACCAAATCTCAATCAATCGTAGATGTCGCAAATAACTTTCAATGCTCGATATCATGGCATATAAAGAAGTACACGGCGTATTCTTGTACAGCATACCTTAAGCAAAGCGAGTCAAGACGCGCTGTCGTCATGACACGGATGTTATTGGTGCTCGGCCCGTCTGATCTGAAGACGGCTAAACTTCGCGAACACTTCACATTTACAGGTAGCTTGCTCTAGGCCCGTGTTGCGCGACCAAAAGATGAACGCCGACCGAATTCTCCGCATACTTGGGATACGGAGCTAACGGTTCACAGTTGCTCTTGTGCAATGACGGGAAGTTGAAGGGAGCGATAAGCGCCTGCTCCTGTCTGAAGGGGTCACATTGAGGTTCCAGCTGCTGCGCCGTCACATTACGAACACGGATGTGTGGCTGGGCCCTATCTGTGGTGTCATAGGCTCAAGATACCAGAAATACACCTACCGTTTTTCCACCCCCCTGTTAATGACGTCATGTTTGTGTCCTGTGCTGCTGATGACGTCACGTCCACTTATTGTACGCGTCTTACGCCTTGGTGGAGTGAGAGCGTGTTTACGACCTGATCTCCTCGGTCAGCTGACTAACACCTGTCCCGGGCTGCGCCAGCGGCGGCGGCCAGGAGAACAACTTGGGCCGCGCGGGCGCGCCGCCGGGCCGCCGCGGCCGGGCGCCGCTCCGGCTGGTGACGGGCAACAGCGGCCCGCCGGCGCCCGACGACCAGCCCGAGGCCACGTCGCCCTCGCTCCGCTCCGACGGCAAGCTGCGCGACTTCGACTGGCAGCACTACAACAAGATGGTGGAGGAGGCGGAGCGCCGCCGCGCCGGGTGCGTCCAGCTCTCGCCAGGCACGCGCCGCGGCGCGGGGGCAGGGAGTCTGCTGTCGTGTGTCCTCTGCTTGGGGCTGGGTGATTCGGGCTGAAGGTTGCGGTGGGATCATCTTCCTCCAATATAAAAATGTCGAGGCATGTCACCCGACGATCTTCTTTGTGTTTAATAGTTACAGATATGAAGACTTGCGTCGTGCCCCCGTGGTGCCATTCATTACGTTTGCTCTTTTTCCTTTGCTGGGACCCTACGCTGCACCATTTTTGCCGTTGTTACCTTGTTGTTACCTTGTTACCTTGACGTAAGCGCCTAAGCGACGTAAGTTGTTACCTTGACGTAAGCGCTGTGGAGACTGGCACGACCAGCGCTGGCGTTGAAGTACTAATGCCATGGCGATATGGCGTAGTGAGCCGAAGCTCGCGTTGGAAAAGGGTCATAGTTCATTGTTGTTCGTATGGTTACTTCCTAGATGGGGAGGGGGAATGGATCGCTCGTACTTTGATATATTATGAGGTTTACCGGAGGTGGAAAGTGAGTGAGCCCAGTCCTGTTGACCAGCTGACTAGTCCTTATCTTATGAACAGCCTGATGCTCCAGATCTGGACGGTATGGTACATTGGTGGACGCTTTCACTGGACTAACGCCAGTGCCGACTGTTCAGCTGGCTCCCTGCCGACACCGACCATGACTCTGTCTGAATGCCATCTGATGCCGTTCGTCCGTCGTCTGGCCGACTGACGCCTGTTCTCTTGATGGCAGCGTCAGTCGACCGCGGACGGCGGCGCCGGCGACGGCGCGGCTGAGAGCCGATACACAATGCAGGACAATATCACTCCGGCTATGCGCGCCGTTCTCCTGAAACGGCTGACTCGCTCGCCAGAAAAGGGTGACGCGCGCGCCAAGAAGCGCAGCTGCAGCAGCAGGTGCGGAGGTGTGGCTGAGGGCCGGGCGGCGTGACCTATTGTGTGACGTCCGGTCGTGTACAGGGCGGCGCGTGTAAGGTGCGCCTGTGCTGCTCACGCCTTGGGTGTAGCTGTTATGGAAGTGTGGCTCCTTTCAGCAGGAAACTCAATGTATCAAGTTGCACATGATGCGTTGCCCTTTGCGTCGGTTTGCCTGATCATGAAATAGTCGGCGGCTAGAAGTGCGCCAACGGGTTGATGCGTACGCAGACGTGTGCTTCGCTAACTGGTTTGGCATTGACTCGCAGGCTATGCCGACCATATACACGCCTCAGCGTGGTAACCTGACTGTTGATCACCTCTTGACCCGCGGCTTGTGAACTGTTCCCTCCTCTCAGTTCAAGCGGCGGCGTGCCCGTGTCCGTCGTTCGCGCGATGTGTTGTGCTAGCCGTTCCCCGGCGCGTCGGCCGTCTCCCGGCGCGTCGGCCGTCCCCCCCCCCCCTCGCCTGGTCGTCCCCTGCTGACGTGACTCTGTTTGGTCGCAGCCGCGGCCGGAAGGAGAGCAGCGCTGCGGCGCCGGTCACACCGGCCATGGCGGACGTGATGCGAACACGACGGAGCCGGCAGCGGGGCCGGCGCCGCCGCTCGCCGGACGGCACCGACGACGAGCTCAGCTTCCACGCGCCGCCCGTAGAGTCGGCCGCGGCCATGCGTTGGCGGAGCCCGCCGCTGCCCTGCCCCAAGCCGCGGTCAGCCATCCGCAGCGAGCCGCCGGCCGCGGGGCGCCGCCTGCGCAGCGGGCTCCAGTACAGCTCTCGACCGGCCTGACGCCTGACGGCAGTGTAGCCCGCTTCAGCCGGGCTCGCAAGAAACCGTGCCGCGCACCGCTGCTGTACCGGCCGTGGCCGGCCAGACGGAGAACGCCGTCCCGGAGAAATCTGGCGCACCTCGGACGGCTGAAGACCGCCGTCTCAGCGGACTACGGCAGAGCTGACTGGGAGCGCTCGTGCGGGCGCATTGCAATGTGGCTGTTGTCACAACGACGCGAGTGAGACCGTCAGAGCTCAGTGTATCGCTCATTGCACATGAGGAGATATCCCGGCTATGTCATAGGAGAGCTTCGGCGTGACTGACGGAGAAGTGCCGGCCGGGTGGCGCGAGGGAAGTGCTCGGGGCGAAGGTGGAGGCTGCTGGCGCACGGTTCGGTGCTGTGTGGTACCGGCGCGACGCGATTGGTGCTGCCTGTTGGGTGTCTGCGCAGTGTTTGGTGTCGGGGGGGGGGGGGGGGGGTCGTGGCAAGTGGTCAAGACGTCAGCCGGCGGCAGACGACGCTCCGAGGATAGAGCGTGCGTGGCTGACCAGCAGAGGACGTGAGAACAGCCCGGGGACTGACCTTCGGCCCCGCGCAGCCGTTCGCACCACGGCGGCTGTCGGCCGCGCATGGCACCGGGAGGCATCAGGTCAGAATAATGAACTTAGCGGCTCAGGATGATTACCGTACTCGTGCGGCTGTGTGCCGGCCCGTGACTGTCTCCAGTCCCCGCTGGAGGGGGGGGGGGGGGGGGGGGGGGGCGGTGAGGGCGCGTATCTTGTGCGTTCGCTGTTCTATCGGTGTGTGCCACAGCCATGCAGATTTATTTTTACGGTGTGTGCAGATCCTTGCGACATGCCACTTTGGAGTTGTGTGGATGCATGATGTGCTGCAACTCCTTTTGTTCTGTGATAGTTAATTTTGTAGTTGTGCATAATACACCAGCGACCGAGACGGACATTTTCTCCATCTTTGATAACGCAAGTTTTGATGTCCATGGGTATCCCTGCGGAAACTGGGATTCCTTTGGAGTCTGTGTTTTTCCCCCACCTGTAATTTGCCCACCAAAGGCAATGCTGTCCCCTCCCCCCCCCCCGCCTTTCAGTGCAGAATGTATGCAGGCCGTTGAAAATACGGACGCAGGTATTTAAGTTTTCAGGACGTTGCTTACGATGGATTCCTTCATGAAAAGAACGAAGAACATAAAAACTGCGAGATGTGCTCAGCTGCGTGTAAATGGCTGAGCTGGATCTTCTGTAATTTGGTTGGGGATTAGCCATGAATGGCGTAGATCATCCATGTGCTGCGTAGCTGTTCACTTTAATCTCATGAACCATTGTCTGTCTGATGAGCCGAGGTGTGTGGAGATTACTGCATCGTTTAGCCACCCAGTTGTTCCCATTCGTATTTGGTGCTGAGAGCATCTACAACTTTTTGTCACGATATATCCCAGAAGTATCCGTCTCTATGGAGAGCACAACATCTGGCTACATTAACGGATCTCGCCACCGGTTTTTAGAAGCCAAGCCAGCGGGCCAAGTTAGCACCCTTCTCCGATTTCCTTTTTGTCCGTGAATTAAGTCACGGTGTCCTACCCACCCCCTGCAAAATGTGTTGCTTTATTTAACATAATATTTTCTGTTAAATACGAGTGGGACGCCAAAAACACGACTCAGTTCGGCGCCGTGCCACATTTTTACACTCAGCCTTTTGCGATGGCATCAAGATTCGTAACGACCAATACTTGTATGGGATTTAGACTAAAAGCAAGCTGCTTCCATTGGATACCTACAAATGTGCTGTGAAAACAGCGATGGAGATGAGCTAACTGCAACGATGGCGTAAAAAATGCGTATGCTATTAACAGGATTTACACATGTCTATTATTAAAACGGATCGGAACGGAGATCAAGTTGGACACTCCCCCTTCCGAAGGTTCTCCAATACAGTTTATGACCAGAGCGGCGTTACCATTCTAACGCTGGTGGGTGCACAACGATATGTGAAATCGTACGTGTCTATGGAAAAGGAAATACCCGGTCACATCAACGACAAAAGTTTAGTGCCGCCAATTATTTATTTACAATTACAATTTGTTATGTACAATTATTTACTTGTTATTTAGATAACGTTCTGATTAGTTTTTCGCTAAATATTACGTTCTGTTATATGATTGCATGCAAACAGATGCATAACGGGTCTTTAGGTGCGGAAAGTTAGATTACATGGTCGCGTCAGGCCGTGACTACCAGCGGAGACGGCTCATGTGGAACCGTTCGAGCTGATGCGATAACGTAAGATTGAAGGGAGCATCCTGCCTTTCTACTTTTCACTCATTTTTACATCATTCGTGTACGATTTGATCAGCAATGTGAGTTTCATCGAAATTCTGAATAGCACAGGATTTCTATTTGGAGCAGCTGACCATGGTGGAGAAATCACATTTGACTCCATGCTTACCACTATGAAAAAGATAGAATTAATCCGCCTTGCTTTTTCCAGCCGGTGTGTTCCGTAGTGTTTGCAACACAATTATGGGTCTAAACGTTTGTGTATAGGAGCTGCGAAAGTTTAAAACACTACGTAGACAAAAAGATGTGCGAGCAGAAAGCTATCATGTAAATTCAACGAAACGTTATGCTATGGCTTTGGCTGCTTTCCTACGGCTTTTACCACCGTGGCTTCCTTCGAGGCGCGCTTCGGATTTGGAAATAAGAGCAGCACACGATCCATGTGACGCACTGGTTCAAACTTCAGCCAACGCGCTTCCCGGCCCTTATACGCTGGGCTAACCACAAACGCCCTTTTGTTCGCACCATTAGAGGTGCACACGATGGTTGTCATGACGACGGTCGTCGCGACTGTAGGGAATGAGCGTAATGCCGTCACAAGTCATGGACAGCGCAATTTGGATTCGAAAAATACTTAAAATTGATATATTTTCCGTCTTGGCGATGCTGTAGTGGCACAACCTAGTGTTACTATTCGACATAACCAGTCTTTTGGGATCACTATGGTATGTTATGGTATGCTACAATGGTATGCTACTATGGTATGTTTTCTAGGAATATGCACCTAGGTCGGACACTCCGTTTAAACGAAGCCATAAATCTCTGAGATACTTTCTTAGACAATTGGCCAGTTGAGGTTTAAATCATGACCAATGCTATTGAACTTGAGCCAGTGTGAAGGTCGGACCGAGGTCAAAACTATGTAACGTTTTCAACGAAAGATGTGCTTTAAGAAGTAGCTTTTGATGCTCCTTCAAGTTTTTTGATCACAAGGACGTCAAGAGATATCTGTTTTTACAGGTCAGCGGAGGCCACTGACCTAAAATGACACACCAACAGTTTTTTCATGACCGGTACGGCGCAGCCGTTTCAATCGGTGAGACCGGAAAGGGACACCAATGGAATTTTGCTTAGAACAAACTTGGGTATGCTTTGGGTTAGGTTAGGGTTACTTTGCCTAGGGTTAAGGTGGTAGCGAGATGAGGTCTGGCGATATTTCGGATACCGATCTGGAGTTTGACCTTACTTGCTCCAAAGGTCAACAGGTATTTCGACCAAGTCTATCTCAAAATTTGACACTGAACTAAGGAAGCTCGGACACAGGCCTTTCTGCCTTGTGAATTTAGCATTTTTGGTTCTGTTGTTCGTTTTTATCTTAGGGGTCATATCGACCTCACCCCTACCGCGCGCGTCGCAATCAGCCGGCCACCCTTGAACGTGTTGAATTGTTACGCGTATGGTACCTGCGTAAATGATATGAAACGGAGGTATGCCATATGTTATAAGATATCCTAACTTCATGTGGGCATTCTCTACGTCAGCATTGCAAAGTAGTAACGGACGAACCTACAACATAAGTTCCACTGAAATGCGTGCGATTGCGCGTTATTAAATGATGACATCTTCTGCCGCGCTCGGCGATGTGCTTCTTTACCGTCTGAAAGCTTCATTTAAACTCAAATATATGAATTCCCCGGAAATCGTAACCCCATGTAACTAATCAATGATGACCACAGGATTTTAAATGAAACTCAAGCTTTCCTGTGTTTTCACGTCAAAAAGTGTGGGACAAGTGTTCGTATAGGTACCGATGAAAACAACAGCCACGTTGTTATTAATGGTGGCATGCATTTATCCGAGTTCAACTGTTCATGGCTGATTTCTAGGTCACAGGTGACATCTTTGGGAAGTAAGCGATATGGCAGATAACAGGCATTGCCTTTCCACAAAACCGTTCTCTGCAACGCGCAAAATGCTCACAAAAAAACAACGTTACCGCGAAGACTCGCCGATTGTCAATATCGAAGCCCAACTTTGGTAGAGCAGAACTCGACTGAACTTATGCTGACCACATCCGTAATGAGGCGAAACGCCCCGTGGAGGGTGCGCCTTTCAGAGTAAGCGTTCGTGCATGACTCGCCGAAGAGGGCCATTTAGCTGTTGACTTGGCAGCGTCAGCCTGATCACAGGGCGCCGAGAGACGTCTAAGTGCATAACACGGTAAAGATCCTTTCGTGCTATTCCGATAAGGGCTCGAGGCAGAAGGGGGCTCGTTTAACCTCCATTGCAGTAATTGGATGGTAGCACGGAGCTCTAGCAATTTATTATTTTCTGCACGAAATGCGATTCAAAATCTGTCCAAACAAAAGCTCTGTTTTCTGTTACATGTGTTGCATACCCCATTGAATAGCTGAACATACCTTTTGATTTAACGACGATGCACCAGAGATAGCATCCTGTTGCCCGATTTTATTTTCTCATGAGACCATACCAAAAAGAGCCAGGTTTCAAGTAAAACAATGCTAGGTTCGTAGAGTTTCATGGGTAGCAGACAAAATGACGAGTAGCAGAAAAGGCTCCACGAGACCTGTGAAGCGGTGGCGTCAGTGCCATGTTTAGGTCGCGGGAATAAGCGCCTGGTGTTATATTTGGAGCAAAAAATGTCATATTCAAAATGGTTTAGCCTCCATTATCCAAAGTTACCCAGAATTGGAGGAAATAATATTAAGGTTGGGGGATCAAGTTGCTCCAATGATTCTCCATGCCAACATCTTTGCACAGGAAGATCGAGGAAAATGGTCGGTGGACGATAATCATTTGCTTACGCTTTTTGAGGCATTTCAGCCAAAAATAATGGGGGGAGGGGGTAAGCCAACGCTGGGAGTCCAACTCAACCTTAGGGATGGGGCAGGGCGCCCACAACAAATGCAAGTCGACACCCGTGATTTTGGTACTGTCCTCAGTGTGCTGGCCGAAGATCGGCAACACCTATTAAGAAAATGTACTAGCAGATGAGTGCAATGCACAGCCGGACATCAGCTTTAAAATGGCATAGGCTCACAGGCACACTGGACGGATG